AGCCGAGATCGACTGTTCCCTTAGCAGTTCTCGAGTGCCTATCGAACTGGTTGAAAACCACCGTTCTTCCGCGTGGGGTGTGCCGCTATCGCGTCGCCTGCACGGCGCAAAAGGCATTAAAAATCTTCGCAATCTCTCCATCTGTCTCACCGCCGCCTCTTCTCTCCGCCGGCGACAAGATGCTCGCAGCTCGTCTCTTTCCCTCTCTGTCCGATTTTGTAGCATCAATAGGCTCCTGCTCTGACGGCACTCAAGGAGCTGAAGCAGGTCGCACTGGTCGTTTTCTGAGGCAGCAGGTTTCAAGCGCAGCGTGGCACGAAATTATGGGACAGGGGACGACCCCTTCGAAACACACCGTACTGAACATCAGCGAGACGCAACGCGGGCATGTTTAATGAGAGCATGACACCCTCTTAGACCCAAACGTTGGTTCCAGCCGCATGCATCCCAAAAGCATCCGTCCCCATCACTTTCCCAACCACACTCCCTCACACACGCGTCTTTCCAAGAACATGAAGCCCCCATCTATGCCCACTTTCGATCTGTGGTCCCGAAGCGTGGGTCTACCTCGACGGTCAGCGAAAACCGCCTTCGAAAGGGGATGTCACGGCGCCTGTTCAAAGAATTCCAACCTGAGTGCTCTCCTTCCTTACCATTTTCCAGGGCCCTCATTGCCTCGAGCATGCGATCGGAGGCGGATGCCCTCGCCGCGTACATGTTTGTGTCCTGCCTCAGCACCCGCCGAACCTCCTCCAGAGCGGCTTCTTTTTCGACCCGCCTGCTATTCGCTAAGCCGGACTGCTCCCGTGTCGTTTCGTTGCACAACATGGAGGTCGAGGTGATGTGGTCGGCCTACATGTTTTGGGTGCCCGTCTTTGACATCGGCCGTTTCGCGATTTGGAGTTGGGCAGCAGTTCGATAGGGTGTGCCTTGTGAAATATTAAATACTAAAAACGAACAGTGTGTGGCTAGCAGTTGTTGTGCTTGCAGCGGGCAGTGCCGCTGGACTGTTGGACCCTATTGACGGTTTGCGTGTTGCGATTTCCTCTACAATGGTATTTGTAGACGACATATGCCCCTGATCGAGACCTGGCCGCACCCACCTCGATCACGATGCGTTGCAGACGATGCCGTGTTTCCGATGCCGCGCCATGTCCTGATTGCTGAGCGTCTTCCTCCGCGGCGAAACGGAGGTCATTGAACAGGATCTCCGCTCTCTCTTTTGACACGCACCAAGCTTTCTCGTGTCCGTCGACGGCAACGCTTGCCTCAGCCGCCATGGCCTTTTGTCATGCGGGGAAGCGATACCCGGCGGTCCCAGTGTTGCACGCGAGAATGGCGGTGAATATTAGTGCCTCTCGTCTTCAACCCACAGCTTATGCATGAAACATCGTTGTACTATAGGAATGCCAAGACACCGTTCGGTGGCGGATGTTTCAATACTGAAAATGCAATATTTCGATGCATGCATCCCGCAGCATCTTACGCACCGTGACATTCTGCATATTTTGTCTTCGAATTTCTAAGTCTACGGTATCTGTGCACGAAGCATGCATAAGATCCAAACGCTCAAAAACTTCAGTATTCGTTGTGCACCTTCAGCTTCACCGTGGCATTCCGAAAGTCTAGAGGAGTTTCCACCCTGGGTATAGCAGCAGCCCTTTCGTGTATCTCCGCGGCCTCGGGCGTTGCTAGCGCACCAGGCTCGGGTTCGGTACCAGAAACAAACCTCCTATTGCCCACGACGCAGTTTTCCGGTGCAACAAGTATCCCGAATTCTCCTCTCTCGCCACTGCTAGGTTCAGCCTCGTGTTTTGAGTCGGCGTTGCCGCCACAGAGCTCTTCTGCTTTTACCACTCCTCCTCCTCTTCCTCCTGCTCCGTCCCCACCTCCCCCTCCGAAGGCATCATTTTGCCGACCGTCAACATGAACATCGTCGCCACCGCCATCCCGGCCAGCGGTCCTCGAGGGGGCACCGCGATTCGCACAAGGGTACCTAACGTGGCTCGACAGGTCGTCACCACCTCCCGCAACGACGTCAGGCATGCCTGCAGGAGGCATGTCAGGATCCAGACAACCTTGAAATGCCCGAGATGCTGCACTCTCAACCACGCCGGGAATAACTCCTCTCTTGATCTTGTGGGCATTTTCTATGAGACCAGGACTGCTGACTGTCTGTCGACCATCAAATGCCCTCGCCCCGTGGAATGTGGCACGCTCCGGCGGGGCGGAAGACGGTCTGGGTCGCAACCGCTCATCCCGTCCCATCGACACAGCTTCATGATCGACATCAACGAAGGCGGTGGCGTTGCCGGCACCCGACTCCGGCCTCATGGCTGTCGCGAGGTCTCCAGGTTCAATAGGCGGCGCTACCCTGGAGTCGAACGTCGAGCCTAAGACATCGACTGTGCCAGGGTCGGGATCAACGGCAACCGGAGCAGGCCGGGAAGCGAGGTCTGGCGGCTGACTCTCTCGCGCATCGTCGGCAGTGATGACTGTAGAACGCTCGGTTGGCTCCTGCTGCACCTCCTCCTCCGGCTTGGGTCTTGAGCTTGTCCGCGTCGAATGGGCCGCAGCACTCGCCGCTTCGTTCGCGTTGTGAGTAGCAGTGCATTCCTCCACCTCCTTCTTCTCCTCCTCCCCCTCCTCCTCCCCCCCCCCCTCCTCAAGCTGCGGCTGCTGTTGCCAGTGCCATGAATCACCACTGGGCCTGGTACTCTGACGAGACTGTAAGCTCTTTGCGATAGAGTCGGCAATTTGGTCGACTCTTTGACGAAGGCTCTCCCCATCCACTTGTAGCCTTCGAGAGCCTCGGTCGCTGTTGAAAGAAATGTTTGGGGTTATTTCAGAGGTATAGTAGAGGATCAAGAGGCCAAGTTTCGAAACACGTCGCTCAGTCCGTAGCTATATGCACTTGTCTACACGACTCTGGGAGCCTAGACAGCAGAGAGGTATCATGGCATCCAGGCCTTCAGAACGAGGCGAACGGCTCGTTAGGATGTAGACAGCATATCGGACGTGGAGAGCGGTTTGATCTTTTCATGTCGCTTACCACATGGTGTTTGGCATGCACCACTCACCTGTTCTCGTGTTCGAAACACCACGCCTTGCCCTGCTTCCTCGAGGAGAAGAAGCTCCTCGCCGTGTCTGGCCTCCGCCCTACCCCCCCTCCAGCTAGAGCTTGCCTCCCGTCGTCGTTATCACCGTTGCCGGCACCACCACTACTGGCTACGCTGGGGCTTGCGATACAGCCAGCAGTTGACGGGCGCCGTGGCGATGACCAGCCCGAAAGCGATGTGCACGACCGCCCTTCGCCACCCAGCCGCCGCTGTGCGGAGTAAAAGAAAGACCTGGACGTTGCCAATGTAGCACCGCTGAACCCGCGTTCCCCAGGGCACACCTGTATGCTTCGAGGCATGTTGACGCCGATGAGAGTGGCACCACCCCCGAACGGACGCCGGAACAGCGGAGACGTCGCCACCGTACCCGCGGAGTGCTGTGTAAGGATCTTCGTGTGTGCCCTTGCCGATGTGTCATCCGCTGTCTGTTCCCGGCATCCTTCTGATAACTCCCCAGTTTCCATGGACCCTGCGGCAGGCATTTGCCGGGCATCGCTGATGTCGCAGAGAAGGCGAATTTCTTTTAGTTCGTGCCCGTCGTCCACGACAGTACCTCTTGCCATCGGGTTAAGCAGCCGTAAAGGATCGGCCGCATCGCGATTTGTCTCCTCACACGACCCTCCGCGCGGTGCTTCATCGCCCGCGACATCCTTTCCAGCTTCCGCCTTCACCTCTTCCGTTGTGTATGACACGGATGGCACTTCTGAGGCCTTCTCGTCGTTCTTCTCGTCCATGGCATCGCCAAGAAACTCGGCGGTGTTCTTGTACTCCCCAACCGTTGGAGCGGAGGCCGGCGCGCCGGGCACAAGTTGTGCGAATGGAGAAGAGGCGCGTTTTCGCCTTTGTCTTAGCCGGAACGACTCTCGGCGCGCCGCCTTGAGGACCTCCGCCCGCGCACGACCTCGCTCTGCGCCCGCGCAAACTGCTCCGAAAACAGATGTCCACGTGCACCCCTTCCCTCTATCTCCGACGGGAAGGGTTGATGAAGCCGAATAAGAGAAGTTGTTGTCGCCCAACGGAGGTCCTCTTTGGCACGCTGGACGGCTCCGTTGGCTGCTGCTGCCTTCGTGGGCGCTGTTGGGCAAGCTGGTGCCCTTTGCTGAAGCCGACCGGTTCTGCGGCCCACGGCTCTTATTCCGGAGTGTTGGCCGCATGGAACAGAAGACATCGAACGTTAGCGGGGTCATCGGCAACGAGGGGCTTCGTTTTTCTGTTGTTGATACGTCCTCTTTGTTGCCACTACTTGCCTCGTAGTCTTCGGTGACACGTTCGCAAACTCGTGCGGGCTGTGCGGGCCGATCCTTGAAGCTGCCGTCGCTCCTCTCCGTGTCACCGACAACGTCACCGTCGAGATCGGGTTCCGTGGGGCCCGACAGGAACTTGGGACTATTGATGTTTGGCACGAGGGCCGTCGATTCAGACTGACCGATCGTCTTTCTTCTTCGCGTGTGAACGCCGCTCTGCTTTCTTGCTCCTGTGGAGGATTTCTTTGGGGGTGATGACCCTTTTCGGTTTCTTGGTGTTACTGTTGATGGTTTTGCTTTCTTATAATCCGTGCTTCCTTGACGCCACCCTGGACGATTTCGTTTGCTGTCTGAGTCAATTCTCGTGGCGCCGTTGCCTATCTTCCCGTTTTCTGTACACGGAGCTGGTACCGGGGAGGCCGGTGCATGAGGCCCGGCTTTGGACTGAGGAGACAATGGGTCATTGTTACGCTCCTCCTTTGCCCTTGTGCCCAAAATTTTCGTCACGAATTCCGTGACACTCTGCATGGTGGCAGAATCAGTCCCAAGGTAGTCGTGCTCATGCCAGAAACCAGTATCAGCTGCGGCGGTAGCGTTGCCCGTACCCTCCGTTTTCGGGCCCTCCCAGCGAGGATTTATGGCCGTGGTTGCATCGCCGCTCTTCTGGTCGTATCTCCTCGGCTGGGCACCACGGGTAAACGTGCTACCTGCTTGTTTGGTAGCACTGGCTTTGTTGGACGCCCGGGGGTACCTGGCGGAGGGGCTCGGACACGCGGTTGATGAAAGCAAGCTTCGTTCTTGCGCACTGCGGCACCGTCGGTTTTTCTGCGCCAACGAGATTTCCCGCCCGTGAGTAGAGTTGCCTTCAAAATGTTGGTGGTGGTAATAGGTCCTCTCAGGGCATGATGGCGTGCCTGTAGCGGTGACCGGACGAGGGCGTGATGGCCTTTTGGGTGTTGGAGGTGCTCGTACATGGCTCACGGCTGCCGCGCTTGCTGGGCGAGCAGCCATGAGGGGAGATGGTCCTGCTTGCCCTGACTGCGTGTTGCGCTTCGAGTTCTCCTCACAGGTCCCTGCGGGAGTGGCCGATAGTCCAAGGGTCCGCGTCTCTCCTCGTCGTATCGCGGCGGAAGCGCTTTTGGGGCGCCGTCGGCCTCGACGGCCACTTTCTGGTGCTGGATGGGAGACTGATGGCGGCCTGCAGGGCAACGGACAAGTGGTGGTTCGAGAAGGCAGGAACGGCAAAACCGTCATCCCTTTCTCGGGCAACCGTAGTTATCTGGCTGATGGCGCATATTCTACCACAGATGTACTACTGTAGGCTCCGCGCATAGGACTACAGAAACTCATGTGTCGTGAATTACGGGAGACTGTTGGGGTTGAAAACCCTCGAGGGCACGTTCTTCTGCTTCGGTACCCTCCACGTGCTCTTACCATCGATTGTAGGTAACATGGAACCCGCTGTGTTTGCACAAGTAGTGCAGGAAGCCAGCAACTGTGCAGACACAGCAGTGGTTGGTTTGCCTCACGCAATATTGGTGGTCTGCTTGATGTATGCATACGCGTACCACATACGGTTGTGGTGTTTGGTGCTGTGGCAAGCAAGGCGGAGCCAACAGCACATATTGAAGCACATTTTGCCGCACGATAGGGATTTATATAGTGTTGTGGGTTCAGGCGAAGGACTATAGTGCTACTGTTCATGATGGCGAAAACTTGATTGCGTGATGACACAGGTACAAGTACTCGTTTTCAAGCACCTCGAGCTGTGTGTTCTAGACAACGTACCCACGTCTATCTACATGTATGTTCCAGCAAGAGTAGTCGAAGCACGCACGCATACCTCGCAAGATGTTGTGAGTACAGGGCGACCGCATCTCTAAAATGTGCTGTCGATGCAACTGCTGCCGCTGGCATCGCCGATCAAGGGCCTTTGCAGCTATCCCGACCTACTGGCCCTCATCAAAGCGCATCTGCAGCAGCTCTCGCAGAAAGATCGAAGATCCGCACCAACAAGTTCCCGCGGGTACCGTGCAATATATCGTACCATTCCGCGGGACCCCCAGTACATGCTTGATGCCTTGCTTTGCATTGTGCTCAGCAACTCAGACCAGCACTGCTGTGCCTTGTCCGACACACGTGTGCACCCACACACGATGGTACGCGGAACTACGGCAATCCTGTGCACCACTCTCTCGGTGGTGAGAGGTGAGAAAATGTTATGTATGCTTCAGGAATTGTGGTGAATTTCACCCGCGCGCCCAGAGTTGAACATGCTGGCAGCAGAACGGCCTGGGACACGGTCATCCTTGTCAGCAGCACAGGAGCATCAGACCTAACGAGTGCAGCGGAACCGCTGTTGTTTTTGACTCTTTGCTGGCGTTTATCTACCTGGTTTCGTCGATAATACGTGCTTTCACGCTGTTGCTGCATCGGGTCAATCGAGCTACAGCAGTCAGTTTCTTCCCGCACTTGCCTCTCGAGAGGGAACAAAGAGCAAACGTTGCTGCGTACAGCAATACTGCATGTACAGCACGTGTACAGCATTGTACAGCCTGCTGCATTACCTACCTTCTGGCGTCATCAGTGTTCACCCGCAATATTGATATCTGTTACCGTTTGGATTGCTAAATGCCGGGGCTTGCTCTACACATCGAGTGCGCATGTGTGCATGACATCGCCCTCAAGGGCATGTCCTTCAAAAAACGTTCTGCAGCAGACCCACGCGTCCGGGTTTTTTCGTATCGAACAAGATAGACAACCTTCCTACCCTCTAGCGAGTAGCAGGTTTTGGGTTAGTCAACGTAACTTGGGTAGTCAATGACGCGACTTTCTATGGTCACTCGTGTTATTCGTACGGCGCGTATGCTAGCTCCCACCGCCGACTCACCAAGAACGCGTGCTGCCCACACTACTGACATGACCGATATCGCCCTTGATGCCATTCCGGGATGTTCCATGCCGAGTAGCTTCGGATCGCTCCCACAAGCATTCCGCGTCCTTACTTCTCTCTCTCTCTCTCTCTCTCTCTCTCTCTCTCTCTCTCTCTCTCTCTCTCTCTCTCTCACTCTGGTAGCAGCCGCCGCAGTAGCAGCAACAGTTGGAGCAGATGACGCCCCGTCTCCGCCTGTCTGGCCCGGGAGGTTCCACGCGATGATGTCGCAAGTCAGGAACGGCGACTACGGTGTCGTCGACTTGTGGTAATTTACGGCGTGTTGCTCTGCAGCCCGAAACGTGCGATGCCGTTGTTCGAAGCTGCGGTATGCGTGCTGCAAAAGAGTTACGAACCACGCGTAGTTTGATCGACTAAGCAGAGAGCGCCCCATGGAGTGGCAAGAAGTGGCGTCGTTTTGGGTTTGCAATCGTGGCTCTTGAGTCGCGTCGGTGGCAACAGCCTCGGGAAAATGCGAGGGGATAGATATATCTCGCTCGCTTTTGACGCTTGAAGAGTGGGCGTTCTTCGCGCTGTTGAGTCGGTTAGACGACGCGCCCGACGGATAGCTGCATCCCCCGCAGTTCTCTGCCAGGGCTGAGCTGGCGACGATTCAGCGTTGCGTGATTCTCCCGATCCACGGTCGACCAGAAATCTACTGCTGGGGTTGTCGTCCTTTCTCTACTCGAATGCTCTCGTCTCGACGTCGTCTAAACATCGGTTTTTTTTTTCTGGCGTCATGAGGGTCTCGTGAAACGTTCTACCCAACGCCTATCCACCTACGCATGTACTCGCATATCTTCTGATTAATTCCTACAGCTTTTAGACTACGGAAACGTTCCTAACCTTCGTGTAACTTTCCCGAACAGCATCTTCTGCTTGGAGCCACTTCCGTTTTCAACATTCCCCAGTCGCGTCTGCTCTTGTCCACCCTGTGAAACCATGTCTACAGGAAATTCCCAAAACCATTTGTGGCGGTGAGTTGTTCAAACCTCTCAATGCCTCTGTGTCGTCTGTCGGCCCCAAGGTACGACTATTCCGCGGGGCGCAACCTGAACATCATCCAGACCCAGAGCGGCGAGGAAGACGGACCCTTGTTCGACAACGAGCGCGCTAACGGGACAACCTACTACTACCATCCCGCCAAGGCCAAGTCCAAATACTGCAACGTGAGAGGAAAGACTTTTCCTTGTTGTTGGCCGTTGGTTCGGTAGTGGCTGGTGCTGATCATGGGGCGCGAAGTTCTTTCGCCCATGAACTCGCTCGTAGTCAGCCGTCTGCATGCTTTTATGGTCCGCGGAGCCCGGGTTGGGGCGTTTCTCCCGAGCTGAATTCTGATGACGAAGATTTTCCCTTTTTTTTCTTGTGTTTTGTGGCACCGGTGTGCAGAGACATGAGGTCGGGCACGTTCATATTCCAATCTACGAGACTGGGGCGACAGTCAGACCGGCGTGGTTGGTATACCAACTTCCTTAAAGTAGCAACCTGCTAGACAAGGCCGGTCTCCTTTGACGTCTGTTGTGTTGGGCAGAGACCCAAACCGGAGGCAGGAGCAAACACCACAGAGTGGCAACAGCGGTAAACAAACCCGAAGATTGCGTGATTGCACCGCGGGCTAGTCCACAAGATCAAAACGCAAGACGTTCTACCGGTATCGCTGAAGTGCTTCACTTTTTCCCTGAACGACGAGAGCAACTTCAGCATTGACTCTGCGGGGGACGTGTGCGCTCTCTTGGATGTCCACGATACAGGTGATCGACTTCGGGGTGGGCATCATCAGACCTGATTGGCTGGAAGGCGCCACCTACCTTGGGGAGGAGGAGTGCGGCATCTACCAGTGAGTGTACGTGCCTTTCTTGCGGGAAGCCAGGGTCGCGTTCAAGTGGCAACAGTGTATGACTTGATTGCCCGTGTATCTCACACTGAGTGATGATGAAAGCCGGACGACTTTGTTGACGTGTGGCTTGGGCGCTAATGTGCCCACGCTGAGCTCTCTCGTTTGAAGTATACGAGCTGACAAGCTCAACAATGATTGGGTGCATTGTTGGTGTGGGTCGATGCTGAGAGATTGAACCGCTTCAGGCCCACGGTCTTCGTCACGTACGGACCCCAGAATGCTGTTGTCTGAGGATACCCCAGACTCTTTGTTATCTGAGTGAAGCTTGCGTGCAACGGTGGTAGTTTCGAAGAATAGCTATCAGTGGACCTAGGGCTGAGCCTTGCGCCAACAAAGAACCTCCGGCCCATTCCGATGCTGCACCAGACGGCCTTCCCTCACTTCACCTCGTTCGCCTTTGCACGGCGGCATCCAAAGACTACCGAATCAGCGTCCCTGCAATCCACTGACTAGGCCGTCACATCGCCGTCATCGCCCATCGGAATCATCCACAACATGCGTCACTCGGCTACCAATCGTTAACAAGGCGCCGTCTCGGTTTTTTTCGTTCAGGTGCCACAAGTGGGAGCAGGGCGAGATCCCGGAAGCTCACGCCAGATTTCTAGGCCTGCGCACCCCTGACGAAGACGTCCGCCCCTCCAAAACAGCCGTCGCGGACCTGGCTCAAGAAAATTCCAGGAATATTCCCGGCCAAATGCAGTCGTTCTTATCTGCCGCTTCGGAAGAGGCGGGGGTGTTGGGGCGAGGGGTATCACGCGAAGAAGGAGGGGTGTCGCTGAGGGGGGGTGACGCAGATGCAGGGGGTTCGAGGGGGGGGGAAGGCGACCGATTCATCACCTACTGGAGCGAGAAGGGCACCGACCGACCCGTGAAGTGGCTGTTCTTCAACGATGCGCTCTTCCAGGCATGTAGCTAGGATGTCCTGGCAGCGTTCCTCTTGTTGTTGTTGCTGCTGCTGCTGCTGCCGTTTTTTTATTGTGTTGATGTTTTCGGTTGTTGGGTCGGCGATGGTGACGGTGATCTTCGGCCAGGAAAACGCAACAACGCGCACAGTATTCGGACGTAGTTGCAGACCTCAACGCGTTAAATGTTGATAAATACTCAAATGCAAATTCGAGAACCCGCGTTTGACGGTTTGTGAAGAGTCGTGTAGTGCACTGTGAATATTGAGGACAGCGCCGTGCGAATAGGGAAGTCATTTGGCAGAACCGCGCGAAAGGTTTTGAAATGACGAGATTCGGCGCAGGCAAAGAACATGCCGAGTTGCGGTAAGGTTTGGGCACAGTGTTGTGTGAGAATGGCGTCAAGGTTCTAGCAATCGAACGGATCTTTTTCGCCCCGCTAATAGCGTCGATCATCCTCTCTCATATTTTCTCGGCTGTTCCCTCGCCACACCTAATATTGTTTTGACGTTCGACTCTTGTGTAGGTTATCCGGTTTGACGAAGGGGCTACCATGCCCGACCACGCGTTCAAGATCCCTGACTACTGCTTCGAGGAGGACCGAAACGAGTGAAATTCCACCACGTATATTCCACAGCACATACGGAAAGGCCTGCGATGGTTGCAATTATGGGATTTCTTGCCCCGGAGAAGGCGGTTCGGATCTAGGGAGAGGAGTAATGAAACGGTCCCGTTCCTCCAAGTCTTTTTTTTCACAGGACTCTTCAGGAGGAAGAAAGACCCTTGCATCCGGCGGGCGTTCTTGGATATACACTTGGATTGTAGATAACAGAGGAAGACAAACATAAATTCCAACCTTTGTGCACCGCAGATTGACGTTGGTGAGAGAACGGTTGTGTGAAATCACGCGGAGCTCAAAGCATCAGGAGTTGAAGAGTGCGTGAAGTGACTGCAGCAAAGAATTCCGTTTTGGGCAGGATTCATGGAGACCTATACATAGTGAGTGCGAGCAATAATCTCCCGCGGAGTGTTCAACCATGGGACCAAGTCCAACTATTGATGCCTCTGGTGAGCAAGAGGGTATGCCCTGTCCCCTGACCAAGGGTTTCATGAATGAAGGTCGTCGGGGGGGGGGGGACTGTTAAGCATCCCCATGTGGGGTTTTTCTCGATTTTCGGTATCATATGTGGAGCATTTGTGCAAGAATAAATCGCATTTCATTAAATATATGAATTTGATGGATCAAGGACAACGGGGCACGCACCCCAGTTCGTACCGTGCGCTTCCTCTCGGCCGCGAGGGGGTGTGAAACGCACGGCGTCGGGTTCTGCGGCCCATTCGAATGCTGAAAAATCTTGTAGCCAAGGAGAGGCAGCGCTTTCTCAAGCCAAAGTAGTCGACACTACAATGCTGAACGGCCACGTTCTTTTGTTCTTTTTACTACGCGTGGTGAATGGGGTCCCGTGGAAAGCCCAGGTATTGCAGAAAAAACTGTTTCTGATACTCAAAGGACCACGACAACAAAGATTACAAGAGCAACGAGCATCATCTCTCCATCAGCGTCTCAACATTCCGCCACCCATCCTCGTGTCAAGATTCACAAAAATGAACGAGCAGAGTCCACGCCCTACTTCTACAGTACACAACTACCCCAAGGCCCTACGATGTACGTCGGTTCGTTGATGGGTGTAGGAGAATGAAACATGTACCCAGACTTCAACGAGATAAGCAATGTTGAAGCTGCAATATCAAAAAGGTACACTACGTATGTCAACACCTAATGCCTTGTGATCCGACATCTATGGTGTGCACCCACGCACCTGTCGTGGCCACGTCTTGTCGGCGGTGTCACTAGTTCGGCAAAGCTGCTCGCCTCGAGTGAAGCAGCAATGGATTTCATGGTCGGCCCTGATCACATTTTTCGAAGACATTTTTACTCGTTTGTCTAAGCGACTCTATTTCCACTCGAGATCCATGCCACACTAGAATCATTTCCCTACCTGAACAAGCCGTCTGAATCATTTTTTTATCAAGATTTCGACGAGATTTCGACAACCATAGCAAGCCAACCCCACTCCAAGCGTGATTCCATTTTCACTCGAGACTTTTCCCACTCCAGAATCGTTCACTTCACTCGCGGAACGGTTGAATCAGTTTTACCTTTTTCCTACTGTACAATGATAGCAACCAGAGCCAGCTCCCATCCCGGTGACCCCATTTTCACTCTACATTCATTCCAAACCAAAATTTCCACATTACCACACCAAGATTGATTCGCCAGATTCATGATGAAGACAAGAACGGCGACGACCATAACCAATGCAGATACTGTTGTTTTCTATTCATCCAAGGGTTGATTCCTTGCAATGCATCGGCACGCCGGCGACGCACTACCAAGAAGCCTGCACGAGAAAACGTACGCACTATGAGGTTCGAAATATATGTCGTCACAAATATGTGCCCTCAAGTTTGACATGTTTGCCGGATTCTCGGTCTGCCGACATTACTACAACGACCATCGTGACGCCAATACGTAATACCTCGGTGATGACACCGTACTTGCTATGATACGTACGCTTAGTGCCCGAGCTTGACCCAAGCTCCAACATAGATATTTAGCCATCCCATTCCCTCCCAAGACTACAACAGGATGTGTAGCGCAACACAACTATGTCCTCGATGAATAATCCGACAGTCAAGGCAGAGGTGCACCTGATCCAACCGCACGGTCAAATGTTGGCCGTATGTGCGTAGTGATGCAGACATGGCATTCGTACTCTTTTTCTGGGCCACTGTCTCGGTGCTAACCCAGTGTTCACTACGTACAGAATATTCACAAGCAAATCTCTGTAGCACCCTGAATCAGTATTTTATCATTTTCGGGGTCGCGTCAACCCGTCTTCATTCATTGTAGCTCAGAGCTCGACGTGGAAAGCGAAGTCACCACCCTTGTTCACGAGGTGTTCCAGATAATGGCCGCCGTCCTGGTGCTCCTGGGGAAATACGAAGCATGCCAGTGATGGAGTAGCGGGGAGGCTCTCAGAGCGAGAAAATGATCAAGTCTACTGAGTCGTCGAAATATCTGGTAGTAAGGTGGTGTCGAGGGTCATTCACGTCGATGGCATCGATCAACGACCAGGGCTGGCTGTGTAACTCATATCCACTTACGTCACAGAAGTCGTCTCCTGTGTAGAGACCCTTGCACGTCCGTCCGTCTAGCTTGAAGATGTCCTTCGCGAGCAGCTCCAGAACCTTCCCGCTGTACAGGCGGAACTTGTACGAGGCCGGCGGGATGCTGCCCTTGGTGTCGCGGGCCTCCGAAAGGTTGGGCAGTTCCTAGAACAAAATGTGCGTAGCAGAAAGACGGGAGGTGAGCGTGCTCGGGAGAAGCTTAAATCGACAATACGCACACAAAAGTTTCATTGGAGAAAATTGAGGAGACAGACATTCGTAGTCGAAGAGGATTTTTTTATGTACCCGGTGTCACACACTGTTTTGACTTGCTCGTGCACTTGGACCTGGTCAGCGCGATGGAACACATTCACAGCGTTTCATTTCAACGTAAGACTTCCTACCTGCTGCAGCCGGCGGACAGCACTAGTCTCGCCCATCAGGGCGCCGTACACGCCGTCCATCCGGTAGTGTACGCCGATGTGAGACCTGCCGATGATGACGTTGGACGCCACCTGAAACGGCCACCCCGTCGGCGGTGATGTACAATAGATGCAAACGTTCGCACGAGAGAGGGTTGAGCTCAACACACACATATGTCAGACAAATCGTGCTCCGGATTTAGAGCACCGTGCAAGGCGACGTTGAAGTAAACGGAACACTAGCGGCCCATCGACGGATGGATCGTGATAGCATGCCGCAGCTGTTGACATAGGCAAACGTTCACCGAGAGGAAGAAAAGGAAAGTGCGACATATCGAACGGCAAGTAGTTGTGAATTGGGAAGCGCTTGATGTCACACGGAAACAGAACCTCCAATGTGTCTGAGTCTGAAGTCATACCTGCCACACAGACCGAACGACATGCGTCACATCTTGGCGGAAACCACGATTCCACATTGGCATACCAGCCCAGTACACCTCGTAGAAGCAACTGTACGCCCACCGCATCGACCTCTCACCTTGTTTAGCTCGCCTTCGTACGTGAGTCCCTGGACCTCCCTCCCGTTCTGATCGATGCACGTTTCTCCCTTGCGCGGGACGTATTCGATCCGCTTGGTGCCTTCGTCGTTGGAGACCACCAAGTCCCCAAGGTAGCACCTCTGTCCGAGCTCGAAGCCGAGGAACGCCTAAGAGAGGGTTTTCGTATTAATGGGAGGAGGGTGGGGGAGGGAGGAGGCACGGGTAGGAGGAAATCAACTTGGCAAGGCGAATCGGGCAGAATCGCTCGAAACGGCTGAAGCACCTATCGTTTTATCATCTCAAGCTTCTGATGTGCGTGTCTGTTAACCGGCTTCATGGGCAATGTGCACAAGGTTGTGTTTGACATGGGGTGTTGCATGGAAGGTGGTAGCCGGAACGAGATATTGTCGACACCGCAGGCCCCGATCCAGCTGCCGCTGAGGGCGTAGCTGGACGTGCGCTCAAGGAGCCTTTAGATCTACTGCATGATATCTTGCCTTGCCTTAGGATGCAGCGACATAGTTGTTCCCTCTCCATCTCCGTCTACCTACACATTGAAATTTGTCACCTCACCTTGAGCGTGGTGATGTAGGCACCAAGGTTGATCGCGTGTCCGCTTGGGTAGGCCGGGTGAACGGGTGACCCCTCGGCGACGGCCATGGGGAGCAGGTAGGTCCCGTCTCCGTGCCCCCCCTTGCCGTCGCCGTTGCATTTGGCGTTATGCGTCCTGACTCGGTTCAGCAGCTCCTGCAATGGAAGACCAAAGAGTGACAGCATGAGTGCCTTACAACATACTCGTGTATGTGTTTTGGGGGAAAGTCGAAACTGATGAGATGGAATTTCAGGCCCCTCTACTCTGAGCAACCAAGACTATGCGTGCGGGATGAACTGACCGTGTTCTGGAGGATAGCCTTGGGCAGGGGTGTGTGCAGTCGACCGGTGAGCGTGTTGTGTACCAGGCCCCCGTACGCCTCGGGCCTTAGCACGCGGTGCACTTGCCACTGTTGTTGCGTTGCCACACCAACGAGGTTGAGAGAACGAAGGGTCGGGAGCAGAGATGGGAAGGGCGTTAGGCACGCCGACACAGGCACGGGAAGGGACATCGGTCCCTTGGTGGGGAAATAGACCATGGAAACAGCCTTCCTTTCAGAAACACAGATCACTTGTGCGAAACAAGTCGGGTACAAAACCTTTGAAAATTTCCAGGAGGAGACCAACCACTGAGGGCTTTTCGCCTCTCTGCGAGGAAGGCCAAAAGGTTCTCCGCACCTTGGCGTACCACGCGTGCCGAGTGGAGGAGCTGGAGGCCGCGAGGGAGGTGAGGATGTGCGGCTCCCCGAAGGTGGCGAAGCCGACCTGCCGCTCGGAGGTGGAGTACGGGCCCTCGGCGCTGGAGAGGATGCCCTGGCGGAACATGACCAAGGCGGCGCGGAACGCCTCGGTGTAGAGGAGGTCGGTGAAGGCGAGCGCGGCCAGGTCGCGGCCGTTCCGGATGAAGAGCGGCTTGTCCTCGTCGACGAACTCGGTCTTGACCTTGGAGGCGCCGTTCTGCGCGCGCAGTCCGGGTAAGCATGAAGGAGGACATGGGCCCGGCGGGGGATATGTGGGTGGTGGAGGGAACAAACATGTTGTCTTGCTCCCAGGGACGTAGAATTAATGTCGCAGATATTCATGGTTTTCAGAACCGCGGATTTAGCTGGGTTTGGAAACAACGACTAAAAAATCACGCACACCAACGATATGCGCCTTACACGTTTAGCCAGCGATAAGACAAGTATGGCGTTCCGAACGAAACAAACCAGGCCGGTTCGGGGATCTGAACACGCAGTTGGCGCTCTAATGAGAGTGTATTTCGTGGCTATTCGTTGTTAATCGTGTGGCACAGTAAACCCCGACCCCTGGATCAAGACGACATCAACAATACCATAGCCACACTCAGCAGCCCCAACTACAACGGTAACGAAACTTAACTTGTACCGACAACGGCGGCGAATTGAAGCCGAACGCGAGGACAGCCGCCACAATCGCAACAACGCCAGACCGAACATTGGCGACGACGACCACGACCAAAACAACATCATCCTCAACAGCAACAACAACAACAACAATAACAATTTCCCACACCTGAACATCAAGCCAGTCCTGGAAGGTAGTCATATAGTCCATCTCCTTGACCAGGGTGACCTGCTTCGGCGGTACGACAATGTTGTCGATCGCGAAGTCCGAGAGAAGGAGTTGCGAGACCACGGGGCCGGCCGTCACGCCAGGCCAGTCCGTTCGGAACAGGTCCTGCACCGGATCGATCTTTCCACCCGCGCTCTTGGGGATGTTGAGGCCTTTGAACGCCGGGAGCCTCTCGAGATTTTCTGTCGTGAAAAAGGCGTGTTCGGTGTGTGGAGGCGTGGAAAATACATTGAGAGAGGGCTTGTCAGGCTGCTAGTCGTGGACGCTTTCGCCCGATGGGGGTGATCATTGGTGGGCTGACGGAAGCAGACAGGCGTGCTTCGTCGAAACGTTCAACTGAGGTTTCGCTTTTGGGCACGAAAGTCACTCCCGCAACAGCCACGAGACACGTCACATTTACCAGCGAGGGGAAGTGCTGGCTTTGGAGAAACCACCGCTGCCGCAACCAACTGTAAAAGTAGTCATTTGCAGCAGCCGTGTGAGGCATGAACATCGACAGAGGTGTCGAAATAAATACGTTCTACGTGAGTCTACTTCCTCAAGTTGCAATGCAGTTCACCTGCGGCGGCGCGGACGAGGGAGTTCGTCGCGAATTCGCTGAAAGGGATGTCTCGAGTGAGGGCCATCCAGTACACCTCGGCCATTTGCGCGGCCTGGATCACCGAGGTCGTTGGGGTTGCGTACATGTGTCGCGAAGGATGAGAACTCATTGACAGCAGTGCTTGGGGGGCTAGTTTCGTCATCATCGTGTCCCGTCAACAGATGATCAACAAGGAACTATTGCGGAAAGGAAGGAACCAAGCGAATGTGGGAGTTTTACGGAAAACAGGCGAAAACGATCGACTACTATTGGGCAACACCTTTGTGCTTGCCAACCTGATAACTACGGTAGCCCAAATAGACTTGAACGAATCACAAACACGTGGGCAAACATTACCAGATGGACGACACGTGTTCGACACTCTGACGAGGGCCTCGACAATAAAATATACCTCGAGGGGAACTCACCAGTTCTTCGGACAACACGCCGTCGGGCGTGGTGATGAAGACGTTGTCGCTGCAAATTCGTCGTCGAACGGAGCGGCAGGCGAGGTTCACGGGTGATTTCGTCAAGTGTTGAGTCGAGATCAATATGGGAAATCAGGGTACTACACTTGACGTACATACTTCTGAGGGTGATCGGGGGAAATATGGGCATCTCGAACAACATGACCCCGCATGAGTACCACAGCTCCCATGGTAATAACGGCATGAACAACGACAAGAAAAAGAAGACAGCACAACTACAACAAAACCAACAACAACAACAACAACAACAACGTCATCGCCATCACCACCACAAATAAACGCCAAGAACAACACGTTTGCCGCACGAAGGCACCGGGCGGAACACGCTCGCATCCCATCCATACCTGTCAGCGCCGTCGACCTGGTGTGCGGTGCCACCGAGCGGGTTTATCATCTTGGCCCCCCTGGCGCTGGCCCCCGAGGGCACCTGGTCGCAAACGTTCACATCTGCCGAGAAGACGCAGTCGAGGAGCTTCTGGTAGGACGTCTTGCTCACCGTCCCGAACTTGTCATGAGGGAGCGACTTGTGGAACTGCCCGATGAAGTCCGGAACATTGGTCTCGTCTCCGTTGGTGATGTGGCAGGTGGGTCCGACCTGGAACTCTTCCTTCGCCGTGTCAACCCGCTTCTGGAGGGTGACCTTGGCACGTTCGGTCGGCTGCAGAACGAGGAACGATAAACAAAGAGGAGGACTACAGCACCGTATGACGCCGTTGCCTTTTCTAGATTTCCATGTCGATCGGTCTATATGTAGGCCACTGCTGTACATAGTCCTGACTATGTGGGACAGCGGAGGATGCTTCTAGGTTGCAGGTTATTCCGCGGTGATGACGTCAAAGTGTGTCGGAATCAAGTAATGCTATGGATGTACTGTACATGGGAGGGCGGGATTTTCTAAACTGCCGCCGCTACTGCGTTAGGCGGCTGCTGCTGTCCTTCCGTTGCTTCACGCGCTCTGTAGCTGTCACACGTTACCCGACTTTGCTACAGCCCCTGCATGGACTCGATCACGGAATGACACCCCCAACTATAGACTAATAATTCCAAACACCGTGACCCTGGGTTTCCGGTAGAAAATGAAGCCAAATTCTAATTCGACTGTTACAAAATAAACACCAGTTTATTCTATCTGCTTCGACGAACAAACCTTCCTTTTATTTTGTTTTCTTTCGAATTGCTTCATTATTTCTTCGGTTTCTAGGCTACGTGTTGGGGAGAGAGACGCACGAAACGCTCATCGTCTCTCCGGCCGCGTTAGCTGCAAAGGCCGGCGTCAACTCTTACAAATCCATCTCTCTCCCCACAAATACTAGCCGAGGGACTACGACTGCAAACGCAGGAGTCCCAAAACTGACTAAGTCCTCAAATGGTACACACCATTCTACAACACCCACATCGAGGTCAGTTTCTGGACGACTACCGAATAAGTCAACTATCCGTTCCCCCAGACGGTCCCCTCCCCCGGCTGTCTCGATACGATCCTACTGCCGTCTGTAAGTTTCCGTGACACTCGCCGCGAATCCTCTACATTGTTTCGCGCGTACGGCTTGTATGCATCCGACCTCCACTTCCCTTCTCTCTGAATCACTCGTTCTGCGATGTCTCCGCCCGATGCAAGAGCCGTCGCGCCTCCAATTCGCAACGAGTGCAACGCGTACTCCTGGGGGTTACGCCCCGACTTCGCTACCACTTCTCTGACTACACGGAGGGCAGCAGTATACCTCACTACTCTCACTGCTCTTCCACTACGGTACGAAGCCAACGGTGCGGAGTCAGGCAACGTCGCATGACACGATAACAGCTCCACCACAAGAGCCACCGCGCCGCCGCGTGCTCTCACACCTGACTGCGGTCCGGCGACTTCGTCTCGCGTACGAACCCGTATGTTTCCTTTCTGCTCTTGATCGGCCTTGTGCCCTCTAAACCGCATTTCGACACGGTCTGCTCTACGATAGTGACTAAAGACTAATTGCGTCTCGCCAGCAAACAATGCTACGTCCGCCCTCGTAAGACAGTGTGCCTCATGCACCCTGCCCGCATCATTCGCGAACACCTCATCAGACCGTGTGATAAAGAGATAGGACAAGCACAGACACAGCCACATCACTCTGCCCCCTTCCCCCCCAGTTCTGGTTTGCGCTTTCCCCGTCCAGCAGCATACGCCAAGACACAGGCAGGCGCACACGGCGTACCGTCCCCACAGCCACGTGGTTTCTCGCAATCCCCCTTAGCGCACATTTCAACATCGGAGACGACAAATCTAGCTCGACAGAAGCTTCCAGCCTATGAAGATGTTGTACAGCCGTGAGTTTTCCGGATATTGTACTCGCTAGATTACCCTCAGACTCGAAACACCAGGCTACGAAGTCTATCAACTCCCACACATGAAGGTCCCCGGCACGTTGCCCTAGGAACTTTGGCTTCTCCGTCAGCCTGCGAAACGTGCCCCAAGAGTTGAAGCCTGACGTGTAAGTCCTTCTAGACGAAGACGCAACTGAGTGCTCGACGAGCTGCATGCCAAGACGTCGGTAACAAAGTCCCGTCCTGCCTGTCCCAGGTCCTGAACCTGCTGATAGCCCTGGAGCCAACCTCGTGTAGACCGGCGTGCTGCCGTTCGATTTAGCCGCAGGTGCGCTGCCATCCGAGGTAGGCCCCCCCGCTACGCGGGAGAGCCCGCACCCCTATTTGTCTTTCCCGTGGGTGAAGAAGTCAGCGGCCTTGGGTCTCGCGCCGCCCTCGCCAGCGGCGCGCGCCTCTCCTCCGCGCCCTCCCCCGTTGCCGTGGCCAACGCCGCGCGCGCCGGTTGCCGGAGTTTCGGACGCTCCGCGCCTAGCGTGGGAAGGGTTCTGGGCGTGGATGTGTGGGCAGTTACGATCATGGCAACCGGACGACGAGTTGAAGGCGAGGCAGTAACCACGAGCGTGTCGAGCGATGCCGCCACTTTCTCTGTCACCAGAACGCCTTTGCGAAGCAAGGATTGCCACTCCATCTGAGACAGTTTTGAAACTGCCGGAGGCCGCCCCAGGATGAGCCACGCTTTTACCCGGCGGAGGTCCCCCCGCATCCGCGCTCTATCCTTTGCCGTAGCCTTAGCCGCCTCGGCGCTGGGTGTAGCGGGGGCCCGAGAGGCCGATGGTGGGGCGGTTGTGCCCACCAGTTGCACCCCCCCCCGGAAGGCCAGGTCCTGCTGCTTGGGTGGCGATCAGGTCGTCGATCGTTGCTTGAAGCTGCTGGCGATCGCCGGCAGCCTCATCGCGCTTCCGCTGCAGCTCCTCCCTCAGGCCGTCCACCAGCCCGCGGAGAGAAGCGAGCTCAGTCTCATCAGCGGGGGGGTCGCCGCGGGTGCCTGTCCCTGGCGCTCGCGAGGAGGATACCGCTCGACGCCTCGCGGGAGTACGTGATCCGCTGCGCGTCGAGGGGCGAGCCGTCGAGCTCGCCACCGATCGCGCGGTAGACCTCCTCGTGCGTGGTGTCGAAGGTGTCGGCGCCCGACCTCGCCCTGCTTGCCCAGCCGCTGCCCTGCCGCTCCGCGTGGAGGCCCGTGTCGGCATCTGGTCGCGGTTGGAGTCGTATAAGCAGCGGACCGGCGGCAGGCGGCGGGCGAGCGTCAGGGCGGCGTTGCGGGAACACTTCTTTTCCTCTTCATCGTGGGCGTAGTCGATCGCGCGCCTGGATCTGCAGTTAGAATGGTCTACAAATCCTATCTTCGGGCGAAACTATCTGACGTGGGTTTTCGTCGGGCCCAGAACGACGCGTTGTTATATCGCGAGCTCGCGTTAGTTCGTTCTCGACGCCTGTGGATTGAATGGAGTGATTTTTTGCTGCTGACGCTACGGTCACCGGACGTCGACCAATCCCGAATATTTTTCTCTCTTTGGAACACTAGCGATGGTTTCTCTCTTTTTTTTTTATATATATATATATTTTCTTGGATTCGGTGAACCCCGGTTCGCCATCGGCACGGGTGCTTCCACTCATTGGCGCGTCCCGTGATGATACGTGTTTTTTTTTCATCGATGCGTTGGATACGGTGAACTCTACTTGCCAACAGCGCGGGTGCTTCCACTCATTGGTGCGTCCCTCGCTGAAACTAACAACACATATGCAGCACGGGTGCTTCCACTCATTGGCGCGACTGTACTGATACATGTACACACCGCGGGTGCTTCCACTCATTGGCGCGCCCCTTGCTGAAACTGACAACACATATGAGCACGGGTGCTTCCACTCATTGGCGCGTCCCGTACTGATACGTGTATGACTTTGTGTTTCGATGCGTGGAGATCGGTTAATTATAGTCGCCAACAGCACGGGTGCGTCCACTCATTGGCGCGTCCCGTGCTGATACGTGTACGGCGTTTCGTTCTTTCTTTTTGAGATCGGTTAACTCTACTCGCCAACAGCACTCATTGGCGCGTCCCTTGCTGAAACTGACAACACATATGCAGCACGGGTGCTTCCACTCATTGGCGCGTCCCGTACTGATACGTGTACGACTTCGTTTTCGATGCGTTGAATTCGGTTAACTCTACTCGCCGACAGCACGGGTGCGTCCACTCATTGGCGCGTCCCGTGCTGATACGTGTACGGCGTTTTGTTCTTTCTTTTTGAGATCGGTTAACTCTACTCGCCAACAGCACGAGTGCTTCCACTCGTTGGCGCGTCCCTTGCTGAGGCTGACAACACATATGCAGCACGGGTGCTTCCACTCATTGGCGCGTCCCGTACTGATGCGTGATTTGTGGTATTTTTGTACCGCTGCGTTGAATTCGGTTAACTCTACTCGCCAACAGCACGGGTGCTTCCACTCATTGGCGCGTCCCGTGCTGATACGTGTACGGCGTTTTGTTCTTTCTTTTTGAGATCGGTTAACTCTACTCGCCAACAGCACGAGTGCTTCCACTCATTGGCGCGTCCCGTGCTGAGGCTGACATCACATATGCAGCACGGGTGCTTCCACTC